TTCTTAAATAAACTTCTTCTAGATTTTGAACACACGGTTATGATATTTAACTATTATCTTTTTATTTTAAATCATTACCAATGACTCTACATAGAGATTTGTCACACTGAACTTTAATTCTGTTAGTATGATTCATAGTACGAAGCCTGTACTTAAAAATGTATTTCAGAATCAAGTTGTAATTCTTTTAGCTAAAATATAATAAGTACCTATGGCTAATACATACAATAATATGTATACACACAGCATCTAAAATGTCTTAACCTCAGAACTAATTTGTCAAATCTTGTCACAGAGCATCTATGCACAACTGAAAGAACACCTCAGCGTGAGCTGCCAAATAAAATATGGTGGTAAAATAATCACAAAATCTAGAGTGACCATATTTTGGCAAGGAAAGAAGCTGGTGCAAACTTGATAAAAAACCCACAGCTTAACGGGATTTGGCATCAGCATCAGCACGATATGACATGAGAGGGGACTTTTGTTCTTAACAACAGTGCCACTCAGTGGCTGAACAATGGAGTGAACTGATAAACAGCATGAATGGAAGGTGGGCAAAAAGGAAAATGGAGTTTGGGAAGAGGCAATGATAGTACTGCAGGCAAAGAGATACTGCATTGCCATGGTAACTGTACCTGGGAGGTCAATTAGGGTCTGGGCAGGAACAGAAACCTGAGCATCGCTTCCTGTAACTACATCGCCTGGATTTCATAAGAAAAAATAATTAGATATCATAAAGAGGAAAAGAAAATCAACTTTTCTTTCATATTTAATGCTGGAATACTTTTACTTATCAACCTAATTACTAAAAGTACAGTGAAACAAAAAATACAACACAATCTTAGAAAAATATAAAATATTTTTTAAAGCAACTGATTTTTAAAAAGTGTTTCCTAAAAAGCTTTTGTGCCTGTTTTTCTTAAGGAAAAAAACAAGTTTCTATTACTCTAAAGCATAGGAAACTTTAGCCATCAAAAGACTTGGCTGAGCAGATTTCATTATGCTACAAATAACAGCATGATTTTGTATTTTCTTATTTTTTAAAAAAAATTCTTTATCCAAAAGTAAGTTAAATGCCTTTATTAAGAAGTCAACATTCTTCTGAAATTGATTTCCTCCTGCAACAGACAAAATTTATTTTTAACTAAACTTGAAACCAATTTCTTCAGTGATAAGATAAAGACCTAAACAAGTTCTAATTTCATATTAAGTATTGAAAAGATTTCATAAGTTACCACATGCACTTATAAATGTCAACATGTAAAAATAAATCTGTGAACTGCATACCCTTTAAACTTGATATACTTATTATAGGCGAGATTTCATTTACAAATTGGACCTGCAGTAAATGCTTAAAATAAAGAAGTGTTCAAATTCAAAAAACAGAGGAAAAGGGGGGGAAAGGGAGTACATTTAAAAAATGCAGGAAAGAAAGGAAAAGGAAGTACTGAGAAGCATTTGAGGTACACGACCACTGAGAAGGAAGATTTTTTTGGTTCTTTGATTTCCTTCCTGGATGACAAAGTTCAATATGAAGCACAGTTGCTGTTGACAGAATCATCCCCTGGATAGATCAGCATCTGAAGCCCCATGCTATTTTGAGATTAATGAGCTGAAAAACAAGCCTTCTTAAAAGGCACCATATTTTCTATGTATGATAATGTATGATTAACAGATTTGCTTTCCCTGTAGCTTTTACACAATAGTAAAAAAAAAAATCAATTTTTGAATTATATAACAACCCTTAGTGCCTTGACCACTTGCTACCATTATGATTTACAGCACAGCCAGCTCATCTGGAAATTATTGGGTTGTAATTAGACCATTCCTATCAATTAACGGTACATGCATTTATATTCTCCTATAGCTGAAATAAAATCTATAAATAGGTACATATGCCAAACAAGTGATAAACAACTTTTAGTGGAACTTCTCAGGTCCTGAATTTTCATAATATAGTTAACTCTCTATTCACTGGTGAATGGTGTGCCTCATTTTCTGTACATCTGAAAATTTTCAATTCTATGCTTGCTACCCATTTCACTCTGCTGCTTCTGGATCACCTATTAATGTATATTTAGAGACTGAGACTAATTTTAATATTGGATGTCACCAGGAAAATGATGGAGGATCACCTGTGCTCCCTCCCTCCTTCAGGACCCCGGCCCCGACAGAGATGGCAACAGCAGAAGGCATTTCAAGTGACACATACATGAATGTTGGCTTCTCCGTAGAACTCTTCCCCTATACAAGCACAGGTAATCGGGAGTTAACTAACCTATGAAAGCCATAAGGATATCCAGCTGCGTAAACAACCCCTTTTCAAAACAACTTTAAAATTTTCCACCAGAGTACACTAAAAAGGCACCAAGTAGATGAGTCTGTTCTGAGATAGTCAGAAGTCCTATTCCGACACATGCCTTCTGAAAGGGTAAACACTGTGCTCACTCATTCCCGGGCCAGGTGACACACCTGCAGATGTGTCAGTGTCACAGCACAGCAGGACACTTGTGGGAAACACCAGCATAAACAACCGATGTTGGTATCTTTTTTTTTTTTTTACATCTTTATTGGAGTATAATTCCTTTACAATGGTGTGTTAGTTTCTGCTTTATAACAAAGTGAATCAGTTATGCATACACATATGTTCCCATATCTCTTCCCTCTTGTGTCTCCCTCCCTCCCACCCTCCCTATCCCACCCCTCTAGGTGGTCACAAAGCACAGAGCTGATGTCCCTGTGCCATGCGGCTGCTTCCCACTAGCTAGCTATTTTACGTTTGGTAGTGTATATATGTCCATGCATGTTGGTATCTTTTACCAAAGGAACCGCAGATTTTTGGAGCTGGGAGGCTCCCCAGGGATCAGTCCAAACCTCTTATTTCCGGGTGAGGAAAAGGGTCTGAAAGCTTCAGGATTCTGCCCGTGGTTCACTGGAGAGTGAATGAAGGAAGGGGATCAACCTACCCTCGCTTCTACTGGTATAAAACTTTCTCCTTCCTTTTACTCCATTTTATTCAAAACTTCATGCAGGGAGGGGCATTAGCAGGACGATATACCTTTAATATGAAGGTAGACAAGCTTTTTGTAGGTTGACACGACAAGAACAAACCAGAAATAAAAAGGAGAGTTGCCAAACAAGACCACTTTTGTTCAGCGCAGGGATCAGTTACAAAATGCCCCAGTGATGCTCACGTTCCAAATACTTTGCTTAAGTGCTCTGTTGTTTCCTTGTAACTGGAGACTTAGTTTTCATCAATTGTTCCATCCTCATGCACTTCCTTTCTCACTTACTGTGATATTAATACTTGACATTTCCTTAGAGACACAACTTTATATTTCTATAGTCATTTGGCTTGGTTCCTCAGAAAATTTAACGGCATTAAGAGATTCTCTGACTCATTTGCTGCCATCAGTTAGAACTACTACTGACTACAGCTTGTTATCAAAGCAATATTGAAATCGTATTTGTTTAGAACAGTAAGACAGTACAATTAAGAAATATAAAATAACATTCATTTCCATCCTGGAAGTGGGCATGTCTCCTGGCATTAAAATACATTTACAATATGTTAATGATCTGAAGTCTCCTATTTTTTAAATCATGTGTGATAGCTCTACATTAAAAAGAGAAAAACGTAATTTTAAAAGAGATATTTGTATGTAAGGTAAATGGAATATTCTAATAGAAATTTAAATACTAAATATATAAAGTCCAATACTTCATATAGGCAATGATAGATAATATGATGAAACTAACAGAAGAACACACACTTATTATTGAATAACTCATTATTTTCTATCATTGGAGAAGAGTCCATTTAACTTAAGTTCTGACCAGTTTAAATGCCAATAATTTAATTTTTAAAATAATTTTGGATGCAATCTTCTTAAACAGAGTATATGGAACATGGTTTAAGGTCTTCTTACTGATTCAATATTACTATTGTTATTGTCAACACCTGTTACTGAACTTGGCTATGATCCAGGGACACCTTTAAGACACAGATGAGGCAGGGGTCAGGAGGGTATTTGCTCTGACACTAACTGGCCACAGACACTATGCTTTGTGAGGCCTTAGGACTGATTTTTGTAGATTTTCTGCCATCGTGTTACTATTTCTTGTTTCCGTAGTATAGACAGCAGAGTCCCATCACTAAAAATAAAGGTGGCTGTTTCTAATCGTCTATGAGTAGGGGTACTTAATTCATATGTCTTTGGAAATAAGTAGAAAATAAGAGAAAAAGGTTATGAGTAAGAACCTGAAGGGCTCCCTTATGAACAAAACACCGGAGGCAGGTGAAGCACTGGAAAGGCCCTGAAATGGAAAGGAGCGTACCTGAGTCCCAGCAGCAGGAGAGCCGCTGACGGCACTCCCAGCAGCAGTGCACACTCGTCAACTGAGTGATCCGGCTCTCACGTTCTCTGGTTCTCTCAGTGCAGGGACTCAGACACTAACTCTGCTGCCTGAGATATTCTGTTTGGCCTCTTCCCCGCTTTGGGCTCTAGTTTGTATTCCTTGGAGGTAAAGCAGGTGGAACAGGGACTGCAAGCCTGGTGACCCGCTTCCTCCAAACCAACTGCACGGACAAATGCTGTGACTAGCAGAGCCCAGGGTACCAGACCTTCCCATCTCAGATGCTCTTCTAGCCAGAAGCATCACTATACAAAGCTAGCAGGGATCTCGGTCAACTGACGTCAAGTTCCGTGCTGTGACAGTTCACGCCATACTCTGTGGGCATCACCAGGACGCAAATGCAAGTATACTAAGGTACAGACGTTAAAACAAGTACTTTAACAAATTACCTCATAAAACGTTCTTAAGAACAATATAGTATCTGATATTGCCATTTAAAAAGGACCTACTATAACAGATTTAAAAAAATTAAGTCTTGCACTAATTTCTCTTTCTAGGACGGGGATTCCTCATAGGCAGGTGAGGAAATCCCAGGCTACCCTGGGAGTGTTTCCTCTAGATTGACCAGCATCTCCCCTTACCTTTGTTCAGCTGCACTGGCATGCTTTCCGATTTCATCAGCCTCTGCTGCTGCTGCAGAGGATGCGTGGGGGCCTCTGCCAGGGTCCTGGTGGGAACCACAGCCGGGGAGGAGGCACCGCCACTGCCTCCCGGTACTGGGCCATCCGCACCGCCCGGGGCCGTTGCCGGAGAAATCAACTTTCTTCCAAAATTCATCAGGCTAGTAGAGACTTTATTTATATTCAGGGGAGCACCTTTGGCACTAGTCCTGTAAAAAAACAAATTAGGTGGAGAGACATTGTTTAAATTAGAGGACAACTCTATTTCACATGCTCTGTTGATATAAAAACATACCTTACCTGCTTTGGAAAAGGTCTAGATCAGCTACACGAAGTGAGGCGTGATAATTTCAAAGTGACCACAGAATAAGAAAACAACAAGATTCTTAAAGATGTGGCTTATGGAAAATAGTCTTTTTACTTTCCATTCATTCATTCATTCAACAAACAGGGCCCATTATAGCCAACACTGCAACTGTCCAAAACAGACATAGTTTCCCTCCTGGAGATTCTAGAAAATACATTCATCACATAATCACATAAACAGATGTATGACTAAAACCTGTGATGAGGACTCTGAAGGAGAGGTACAGGGCTGGGTGAGTCTGGGGTAACCCACAGAAGGGGGCACCTGGGAAGCCAGGCTGAGAATAGATTTCCCACAAACTCTGGCCTGTGGGAACAAGGCCATATTTAATCTGACTTTGAAAAATAAATGTGTCTGAGAGCCATGAAGTCAGTTCATAGAAGTACATCAAGGGCTCTGGTCCACGAGAATTGGGTCCACCCTCACCCCACACTACCGTCCCCGCGTTCCGTATCCTCCTTCCCCACGTCCCTGCTTTACTCTTCCTGATGGTGCTTTGCATCATCTGACATACTACATATTTTACTTATTTGGCTATGATCTGTCCACCTCCCCCAACCCCCACTGGAATAAATGTTCCATGGAGACAGGACTTCGGTCTCTCTGCCATGTTGCCAGTCGCCTAGAACATAACAGGTGTTCTAGAAACATGTGTTAAAAGGCAGCTGCGTCTGCCTGTAGTCTAAGCCTTTACACCTATTCCCATGGAGGAAGCGTCCCTTGCTCCTGGCCACGGCCCGCCTCCCCACGTGCGGGGAGATCCCATCTGCTCTGACCTTTGGAGACTGTTGCTCCTGGATCTTGCTCTCCTGCATCACCATTTCCCCCTTTCTACCGTATCTTTCCCATGAGCACACAACCGTGGTGTGTGTGTGTGTGCGCGCGCGCGCGCGTCTCCCAACTTCTCCTTTGAACCCGCATTCCTTCCTGGTTACCGTCCTACTTCTTTCCCTCCTCACAACAGGTCTTTTCAGAAGTGTCTTAATGTGCTACTTGTGCTTCTCCAGTCCTGGCCCACTAAGGTCTGGCTGTGGCCTCCTTGCCATCGCTCTGAAACCACCCCTGGAGGTCACCAATGACTCCGCAGAGCAAAGGTCCACCCTTACTTCGCGTCACGTCTCAGCAGCAGCCAACTGCCCTCCACTCCCCGCTCCCTCTCAGACAGGTCCTCTCTCGGACACCAGGGTTTGCCAGCACCTGTGCTCTGTCTGGCAGATAGAGGACACCAAGTCAACATTGGCTAAAATGAATGATTACTTCCCAAATGATTCATCATCTTGAAGTATCTCAGGGCTATTACGTGAAAGACCAGTTATGATTATAAATTATTTTAGTTGTAGGAGGCTGACCATGTCAATATCAAAGTTTGCATTTTTACTGCCCAATCATTAATAGAAGCTTGTTTTCTCACATTTAGCTTCTTTTTCATAAAAGCAGAAAACTGAAAATCAAGTTTGAGGGATCCACTTGTTATGATTTTAGTTACCTTGAATTTTGCCATCATTTCGTCCTCTCAGATCTACCTGGCAGCACTTACATGGTAATTCTCCTACTTTTTATATGACAGCTGTAACCTTGCCGTTACTAGATAGGGCGCTAGAACAGAACTGATCCAGAGTTCTGTAATAAAAAGCAAAGAACACTATGCTTCTTCCTTCCATAAAGTCTTTAACGGTCCTAGCTAATATTATGGGCTAGGTATGGGAAACTTATATTGCTTCAGAGATTGGACAAATCAAATTTAAAACCTGGAATTTGCTTTATAAAAGAAACGAGCTATTCATTTATAACGCATGAAATGTGAAAAAAAATCCTTTTTCAAATGGTTCGTTTTGCATCATTTCATCTTTAAAGAACAAAGCTATTTAATGTTCTTCGAAAAATTATTGAAAATAATGTTTCCTAGTGGAGATGAGGATATATAGTGATGATGCACCACTTATTTCCAATTTTTTATTCATTTATTTATTTTTTTGCGGTACGCGGGCCTCTCAGCGCTGTGGCCTCTCCCGTTGCGGAGCACAGGCTCCGGACGCGCAGGCTCAGCAGCCATGGCTCACGGGCCCAGCTGCTCCTCGGCATGTGGGATCTTCCCGGACCGGGGCACGAACCCATGTCCCCTGCATCGGCAGGCAGACTCTCAACCACTGCGCCGCCAGGGAAGCCCTATTTCCAATTTTTATACGCTTCCTAAGGAAGTAGAGACCTCTCAATGTATAGACACTACAGCTTGGCAACAGAGAAGGCGCTCAATACATGTTTATTGAGAAAAAGAATGAATGACATGTAAAGAACTCATAAATTCTGGATTCAGAAGGCGTTCCCCTCTGGCACTCAGTGCACTCAGCAGCCTGCCTGCATCCCCCTTTCTCGCGAGTCATAGTGGAAAGAAGGGTTATCAGGATACTGAAGTTCCACTGCAGTTTAGTTGCGCTTGTATGCAAGTCAAGATCCATAATTCACGGATATGGAGAAGTTATAATGTTGTTACCCTTTTTTTATAAACAAAAATGTACTAGTCAAATTCCCATATTGCCAGTTCTAAAATTCATATGTTGATAAAAGTACTAAGAAACTGCTAGAGCATTATCAAGAGACTATGGTTATGGCATCTTCATTACTACTACAAACCATGAAAAACACACAGATCAAGCTCATGCCGAACCATTTTTCATCTGAATAGCTCTTAAAAGAGGATGAGCGCTGTTTTCCTTTTTTGAACGTTTTTTGTTTTCAACCAATTTCCCCCTCATCCACTACCCATGCTTCCAGAAGAATAAGAAGAATTTTGAAAACAACTATTGAAGGTGACTATTTTCAGGTAGAAACAATTATAACCCATGTACTTCTAGAGCAGGCATGCTAAGCATGCTGCCCGCTGTTTGTGTTTCAGGCATGACAACTTTTATGACAAAGTTAGCTAAGAGAGACCTTAAATATTAGCAGCAGCGGTCTTCGCAAGACACACTAAACATTCTGCAACAATTATTATTGGCTGTCAAGTCACGTGTGCTAAATTCATGAAAATTAATGCAGTTGTCAAGAGATCTGATGGACAGTGAGGACCGGACTGGATTGGATTAAAGATGGCGGCAATGGGGCTTCCCTGGTGGCGCAGTGGTTGGGAGTCCGCCTGCCGATGCAGGGGACGCGGGTTCGTGCCCCGGTCCGGGAAGATCCCACATGCCGCGGAGCGGCTGGGCCCGTAAGCCATGGCCACTGAGCCTGCGCGTCTGGAGCCTGTGCTCCGCAACGGGAGAGGCCACAACAGTGAGAGAGGTCCGCGTACCACAAAAAAACACAAAAAGCCACAAAAACCAAAACAAAACAAAACAAAAAAAGATGGCGGCAATGTGTAAATAGTGTTAAAAGAAATGCTAAGAGGGCTTTAGAGTTAACAAGACATTGAACACCAAATCTAATGAGCAACTGGCTCTGTGTAATCAAAGTTTTTTGTTACTGTCGTCTACACTACATACTATTATTAAAAACAGTATCACCTAGGAGGGATTGTTTGGAAATTGTGCCAGGAACTTTCTTTTAGCACAGCCTCTTCAGTGGGTTAAATCAGCAGCAACAGAGGCATCTTCCTGAAGATCCATGAATCCTTCGAAATACCTGTACCAGAACCCAACCTGGCTTCACTGTTGGGCCCTTTGTGTACAGTTTCTGAAATTCTGAAAGTGGGTGACTCTTGCTGCCTCTTCTACCTTCTTCCTACCAACTTGATCTCTTGCAGTCTGCCTTTCTAACTCACACTCTGTTTACTGAAAGAGATTCTAGGGTCTCCAATGCCTTCTTAATTCCCAGGATCATGAACTGCTCTCATTCAGCTTCTAAAACCTTTCTAAAACTTAAAAAAAAAAAAAGTATCGCCTCTGTAAAAACTCTCCACAACCTTCTTTCATTTCCTGGTATCCAAATCTTTTCACCACCCTGATTTATTTCCTTCTTACCTACAGATTTCTTTCAAGTCTGATATTAAGTATCTAATATTTGTTTATTTCACTCCTCTTGCAATAAAATGTTGTTAAATGCTTGTTTATATTTTTGTCAAATAATGAGTTTTCAACTCATTTTTAATTATTTTATCTATATTCCCAAAGGTTGAATGCTTGGTTCATTCATTCATTCACTTACTCATTTTCTCTTTTTCCCAATATAAGTATTTAAAGCTGCACATTTGCATCTGATTAAAGCAATAGCATCAGGGCTTCCCCGATGGTATAGTGGTTAAGACTCCTTGCTCCCAATGCAGGGGGCCCCTGCACGATCCCACATGCATGCCGCAACTAAGGGTTCGCATGCCACAACTAAGGAGCCGGTGAGCCACAAATAAGGGGCCTGTGAACTGCAACTAAGGAGCCTGCCTGCCACAACTAAGACCCAGCACAACCAAGTAAATAAATAAAATAAATAAATATTTTAAAAATTAAAGCAATTGCATCAAAGATTTTCCCTCACATTTTCAAATAGTCTGTTGATCCAATTGTTATTTAGATACATTTAAAATTTTAGACAGTTGGGTTTCTCTTAAGTATATTACTCATTTTGTTTTATTAAATAAAAATAGAAATATCAGAGAATGGAAGTGGGGAAATATTCTGATTTTTCAAAAGGAGTGTGGAAACCAAACTGTAAAATAGACTGGTTTATACAAATATTTTTACTAATTACTTGGAAATGGCTGTGTTTATTACAAGTAGCCAGTCTGGTTCACTAAAAACAAGTCATTCTAAGACAACTTTATTTCTTATCTGAAGCGCTGACCTCTGTTGGATTTTATCAAGGTGCAGTGGATATAATGGAGGATAATACACACTTAGTTACAGCTGAACAACT